AGTGCCAGTGTTATTTCCAACGGGACCTGCCCCTCCCCGAACCACCACAGAGGCCAAGACATACAACCTCTTACTGGCCCGGCCTGAGGCAAGCTAGGGAAGTTCCCCCATGGAAGCCCCAGCGCTGTTTCTGAACACGCAGGAATGGACGCTGGGCAAGCAAAGAGCGGACGCCCTCTGCACTGCTGTCAGGGAGCTCTTGGGGCTCCCTGCTGGACAGATGGTGAAGCTGGGTGGCAGAGAAGCGAGAGCCAGGGAGTGGCAGAGCGGGTAAACCTTGCACTGCCCCCTGATGGGTCCCCTTTGGGTCTCAGGCACACTGCAGTCCAGCCCTGCGACCACATCTCCGTCAGGATCGCTCAGCGGCTCCCAGGAAGATAGCGATTCCGACATGGCCTTCAGTGTCAACCAGTCCTCCTCCGCATCTGAGTCTTCCCTCGGTAAGGGAACGCCCGTGCGGCGAGGGGGAGGGCAGGGGCTGGTGCTGCCCTGGCACCCTTGGTGGTGCCAGCGGGCCTCCTAGACCTAACTCCGGCTGGCTGCAGCATCTCAGTGACAGGGTGGCAATGTATCTGGATGCTCGTGGTTAGGGGAACACGGAACACAGAGCGCTGCAAAATCAAGAGAATCACACTTGATCTCCTAAATGCGCCCTCCCACGGGCTTCCCCATAGAAACTCTGTGCCGTCCGGGCTGTCGCAGGTGTTAGAGAGCCCATCTGAGAGCGCCACTCAAGCACTTTCTGTTTTCCCTTCCTGCAGTGACAGCCCCCAGCTCCCCGCTGAGCCCCCCAGTGTCCCCAGCATTCTCCCCGCCAGAGCCGGCAGGCAGCAAGAACAGTGAGTGCACGGTCTGCTTCGACGGCGACGTGGACACGGTCATCTACACGTGTGGACACATGTGCCTGTGCCACACCTGCGGCCTGCGGCTCAAGAGACAAGCTCGGGCCTGCTGCCCCATCTGCCGGCGGCCCATCAAGGACGTCATTAAGATCTACAGACCGTAGCCCCGCCCGCTGATGGGCCTTACCGGAGCAAGGCCACCTTTCTGAAAGCAACCCCCCTCCCAGGCCGGGCCACCACCATGACCGGCAGGGAGTCCAAGGGCAGCGGCCATCTCGTGTGCTACTCCCCATTGGCAGGCAAGGCCTGGCAGTTGTGGAGATGAGGCCCAGGGGGCCTGAGCCCAGAGAGGGCTCAATGTGCTTTGCCCCCAAAAGGCCAGCCTAAGAATGAGCTCAGGAACTGCCTGGCCAGTCACCCTGCCGCTTGGTGACTTTTCAGCAGGGAAACAGCGTGCTCTGTCTGTGCAGTGCTTTTTCTGGGTTTGAGTTGAGTCTGCGGGGGTGGGAGGGAGCTAGAGAACATGAGAGAAATAACAGAGACTGTGTGAATGAGAGAATGGATGGGAGAGAGCCCATGGGTATTTTCTACAGGGATCCCGCCAGGCTCCAAGAGGCATGTGCAATCGGGAGCTCAGGTGTTAGCGTGGCTAGAAGTGACTCACGTCCCAGGGACGTCACGTGGCTGGTTTTGAATGTACGAAGCCTGAACCTAAACAGAACTCCCTCGGTCGGCATAGAAAAGGGACACTCTTCAGATTTTCCAAGGGGAGGCAAAAATAACTCATTGTTTACAGCTTCGAAGCAGCGGCTCCTTGGGGGGGAAGGTGGGTGGAGAACATAAAATGCTTTTCTCATTTCTTACTCAGCCTTTTGGAGGAACTTGTGCCGAGTGCCGAGGGTGGGCCCGGCAGCTGGGGCCTTTCCTCCCCTGCACCCCAGCCAGCCAGCCAGCCAAGCAAATGCACCTTGACCCGACTCTGGAAGGTGACCGGCGCCTGAGTTTGTGACACGCTTCCCCTCCCAAGGAGAAGACTAGCGACAGGTTCTCTCTTCCGGGGGAGGGAATGAATCCTGGGGGTAGGTGACTGCACACTTCCGGTTGTACCCCCTGGGCCTGGCACAAACCAGGGCTGTGGGCATTCCTGGCAACCTGCATAGGAGGCTGGGAGGAGCCAGGGCTCTGTTCTGATTCTCAGCTTACCTGCTCTTGCTAATTACAAAGGTGTTCGCTGATCATTAAGATGTTAACTGGTAATTGGTACCTGTCGAGTCAGTTGGTGATTCCCTGCGTGTCAGAGTAGCACCGTGCAAGGGGTTTTCAGGGGTCACTTTGGGGAAGTAGATCAGCAGGTTGGCCTCCTGAGGCTCCTCTGGGTAGATTCAGATCTCGTGGTTTGGTTAGCAGCCTGGGGTGTTAACTGTTTTAGAGCCCCACCCCTCTGACTCTAGTAATTGAAACAGTAGCTGAGAATGTTGACATTGTGATCCTCCCGACCCCCTTTCCTGGGACCCAGGCCCTTCCCCATGCCTTACTCCATCCCGGCAGACCCCTGGGCTCATGGGCTTAGCCAAGGCCAGTGCAGGCTTGGGCTTCCTCTGCCTGTGTGGCACCTCTCGGAAAGTCCCATTGCCTCTGTTTCTCAGTCCCAACCTGGCCCAGTGGACGCCTGAACCCTGCCACTTCTTGGCAAGGTGGGCACCGCATCTTAAGCCAGTCCAAAGAGCAGGCATCATTGGTAACCATTAGAAACCCCGTTCCCTTGCCCTTGCAAGAACCCATATTTCAGGGTTTTTAACTCCGACTCGAAGTGACTCCCAGCGTCAGTGCTCCATGGGGTGTAGTGGCCGGAGGTTCAGAAGTAGATCACCAGGGCTTTCTTCTGAGATGCCTCTGAGTGGACGTGAACATGTTTCGGTGAGCAGCCACCCAGGACCCTTCCCTGGCTGCTTTACCTTAGTGAGTGTGCCCACAGTTTAATTTTACAGCACTATCTTGGAGAAGCTGTTGGAGCCTCCGGGATAATGAGGCACAAAATTTGCTTCTTCGATTTTGGGTTCAGCGTCTCAGCAGAAATTTGTTCTTCGTTTAATAAGATAATATAACAACAAAACACTTTTCGTAAGCCCAGCTCCCCTGTATTGATATACCTACAACGCTAAAAACGCGGTGTTATTTTCTGTTTTGAGCCTCCTGACGTGCTCCAGGCAGTGCTGGCATCATGACCCAGTTTGCACTTCGAATCACATGGTTTCATCTGCACGCACTGCTGTAATTTAAAGGTGTCATTTTAATTTTGCTCGTTGTTTATGTCACTACTATTGCCATGACATTTAGTGGTAGGAAATACAGTGCACAAGGTATCAGTGCAAACGCACAAACATCTACATGGCCAAGTTGGGGAGAGGGCACACGGGAGGGACACGAATGGCTGCACTGGGTGACCCCAACCCTAGTGATACCCCTGCCCTGAGATAAGCGTCTGAGACTGTTGGGCGGCTTTCACTGCCCAACTCACTGGCCAGCCAGAGCCTTCCGTCTCACCCCATGGCCTGGGTGTAGGCTGAGCTGCCAGTGGGCCAGACCCAGGTCTGCTCCAGGGGCCGTGCGCTTTGCCCCCCTGTGACTTCGGTTCTCCAGGCAGCAGGCTCCCTGTTTGGATCGAGCCCTAGTCGCCAGCTGTGGTGGTCTCAGTGACCGGGGGGAGGAGCTCCTTTCTCTTGCCTCTTGCCATTCCTGGCCGCCCCCTTGAGTTCCTGCCCAGGTGATGTACAAGCCAAGGGTGGACCAGGTGGCCTAGTAAACCTGGGAAGAAAGGAGCCAGTGGCCCGTTTAACCTGCTCTGCAGCCTCTGTACATAGCACTCCCTGTTTGCTGGAGTTAGGGGTGTTTAGTTTCTGAAAAGCAAACATTTCCCGATGGTGGGAGCTGATTCATGCAGTGCTGCAGAGGGCGGGCTCACCCCCCCACCCCACCCCCCCATCACTCCCACAGTGCTGTGTTGTGAACTGGGTGGAGAAAGGAGAGGGAGCCCCAGTCCGCATGGCCTCTGCTGCGTGTCTCGGCACTAGCCAGCACACATGGCCCTGCAGGAATCTCGCAAGGCAGCTTTGGGTCACAGAGAGGCACACCAAAGCCGCCATTGACTGTAAAGCACACCATCCTGTGGATGCTCTTTCTTTAAGGCCATTTTACCTTCTAGACGCCACAACTCTGATTCATTCCCAGTCGGAGATGTTAAGCTGTGCTGCTTGCAGTCTGATGTACAGCGTTCTCCTCACTTGGCAGATGAGGAAACTGACCTCCTGCAACCGGAGTGATTTCCTAAGAGGAAGTCTGGAGGAGGCGGCTCGGGGCCGGGTTCAAACCAGAAACGTCAGGTGCCACGTCCCAGCTTCCCACTGCCTGGCTGGTGCAAACCATTAAGTGCTCAACTACTAGCCCAAAGGTTAGGCGTTCGAACTCACCCCGAGGTGCCATCAAAAGAAAGGCCAGGCCATCTGCTTCTGGAAGGTCGCAGCCTTGAAACCTCCCACCCCACCCCCACCCCCTAGCACTTCTGCTCTGTGCACACGGGGTTGCCAGGAGTCAGCGACCAGCAACCACCACTGCCTAGCCCCACAGCCCAGGAAGTCATCGTTGTTCAGACATCCCTGGGCAGGCCCTGTGCCTGCGCTGGTGCAGAGAGAGCTAGCAGGCAAGCAGGGCTCAAGGCCCAGGACGCAGCCCCTCCACTGTATGCACCCAGAAGGACCAGAGGCCTTCCCTGCAGGTTCACATGCCTGAGGCCGCCACCCTGAGGTCCCGATGCCAACCCCCGCCTCCTGTTGGCATGAGGTGTCTGTGTGGGGCCCCTGTTCAGGTCACAGCCCACATGCGCACCTGTGGGTGCCACAGCAGCCAGGCCTCCAAGGCTGGGACGGGAAACCAGAAGACACCCTTGACTTGGGGCCTCTAGAGAAACTGGGCTGCTCTCCAGGTAAAGTGCCCCTTTTTCAGCTCTGCCTCCCACACAAGGTGTCTGCTGGACTTTTGACACTTGGGGGCACCTGCTCGCCACCCTGATGGCAGCAACACCATTCCACCATCCAGCTCCCACTGGCCAGTGCAGACTGCCCTGGGCACAGGGTTGGAAGCTGGCCCTGAGAGTGAAGGACCCCTGGAACCCGGGGGCCAGAGGTGGAGATGAGTGTGTGTCAGGGCCTGTGCTGGGCCCTCCCCTCGTGATACTCCCCGAAGGTGTGGGGCCTGGAAACCAGATACCAACAGTCGCGGGTAGTGAAGCCACTCCACCAACACACACACACACACACACACACACACACACACACGTTGGTGCACAAACATTTGCTGAGTGCCTGCTAGGTGCAGGGTGCTGGGGGTATGGCCCAAAGGACCATGCCTCAGCTCTGAAGTCAGGAGTGGTGGTGGTAGTAAGGGTAGAATCCACTTGGCTTTCCTGCCTCGGGGGCCACCTGGGTGTCGCCCAGGAACTGTAGGCTTCCAAGGGTGCCTGTCCTTTAGGTCAGCCTGCCCCCTGGCAGCGCGGTAGACTAGGCCTAAGGCCGGAGCTGGTGATTACAGACACATGCATGCACAGGAGGCACGGTAGGAGAGCGGACCCAGCCACTGTCACGTCCTGTTGGCTGGCAGAGAAAGCGCCAGGCCGAGAGCCATGCTGTGCAAAGTCTTGGAGCGTGGGAGGTGGTCTGCCCCCTCCCGGGACAGAGGGTGCTGCCCTCGCTGCAGCAGGGGCGCGCTGGCTCGCGGGTGCAGAGCCTCCTGGCGCGTCTCAGTATTTTGTTGTCTCGCCGCTCTTTCCAAGTCCCTCAAGAAATGATGTGTACAACAATCTGTCTGTGCCTTATGAAAGTGCCTGTGCACTTTTTATCCTTTTTAAAAAGTAACTTTGAGACGTTTTAAGTGGGCAGGGGACCGACATACATGGCCATTTTCTCAGAATGGTGATCATCTTGGGAACCTTTTCGTTGACGCTTGTCAGGTTGGAGTGAGGACGTGTATGCCCCATCCCCACGACCTGTGTACAGACCTTAAAAAAAATGTCTCCTATTTTTTCTGATTGAATACTGTGACCTCTCCAAACGCAGCCTACCCTGTGGGGATTTGTAATAAAGGTTTCAATCGGGGAGGGAGGGAGGGAGTGGGCTGGGAAGGGTTTGCACTGGTGTCCTGTGTCTTGTGCTTTTATGTGTGTTCTGTGTGTGTGTGTGTGTTACGTGTTTTGATTTTTGACTTTTTATCTGTTTCCCATTAATATAATTTTCCTGTTTGAAAAACAAATACAACTTTGGCTTGTTTAAAAACGAAAAAGTCTCTTCAAATCTTTACAAATCACAGTTGCATGCACAGTCGGGTAGAGATGGGGGCGTGGCATGCCAGCCTTGAGGGATCAACGGGCAGAGCATTTGGTGGGGTGGGGGGCAGAAGAGGGTTGACCCTTTCACCAGGGAACTTACTGCCGGAAAAACACCACAAGGAAATCATTCTCATCAAAGATCAGCTAGCTCCTTGCGTAAAGAAGCCCTCGCCACATCGTTTATAACAACAAAAACACTAAACTCAAAGGTCCGCCAGGCAGGGTGTATGGGGAAAATCTCTCGGCTGCAGGTAACCCTGGGCTACAAACGATAGCTCAGGTGACTGAGGATTCCAGGAGCAGAAACCACATCGGCCACAGCTAGATCCACACTCTGCAACACTGCCTCGGGACCTGGCCGCAGCCGCATCTGCTCCGCCTTTCTGTGTCCCCTCTGATCCCAGGGTCCCTCGCTCACTGCTTCGAGTTGAGTGCTACTCGTCGCCACCTCACATGACAGCGCAGAACCACCCCCGTGGGTTTCGGGGAGTAGAAAGCTTCATTTTTCCCTCAGAGCAGCTGGTGGTTTCGAACTGCTGACCTCTGGGTTAGCACAGCTCATGAGGCGCCACACCACCCGGGCTCTCCCGTTCCCTGGCAGGCTTGTAACATGGTGGCGAGAGTCCAGCTGCATCCTGCCTCGCAGTAATTCCAGCTGATTTGAGAGGAGCCCCTTGGAGGATCCCTGGTAGCGTCACGGTGACATGTTGGGAGACAGAAACCACCGGCGGCTCCTCGGGAGAAAGGCAAGGCTTCCCGTCTCCATAAGGAGTCACGGGCATAGTTATGGGCCCGGCCATTCTCTGAGCAGAATCCACGGCAGTGAGTTTGGTTTGAGTGTGGGACCAGTTTGGACCATGTGCCC